GCAATTACATTGCGTATGAATGTCGATAAAAAAATTACGAAAAGGAACTAAGCTAGGGCAAAACTGTAAAAAGAAGGGATCAACTGCTTGTATATATTTGGTAAAACATTCATCTGCTGGGCCTCCCAACTTTTAAGGGACATTCCATTACGTTCTAATTAGATTATTTTTAGTCCTACGATGCCGTTTTGCACTCCATCCTCCTAAGTTTTGACTTGGTTAAATGCTAAATTTAGTCCCTCAACTTTACAAAATGTACATTTTTGATCCCTTAACAATTTTTTTGCATTTTTTTGATCCCTTGACTCAAAAAATTGGACAGTTTTAGTCCCTCCATCAATTAAGTATGATGTAGCAGTTAAATAATTTCATGTGGCATTGTTTTTTTAATTTTTTTGATGATGTGGCAATAATCTATATTATAATTATGTTATATAAATAAATAAAAATGCCACATAGATTAATATACATATTTTAATTAAAAACATATAAAATTACCTTATTACCCTCACCTTCACCCTCACCTTCACCCTCACCCTCACCCTCACCCTCCCAATCCCTCTTCTTCCCTTTCTTTCTTTCTCTTTCTTTCTTTCTTTTTCTTTCTTTCTTTCCTGCCTTGGGATAGGCTAGGTTTGGTGGAAACCCAGCCTTGCTGGGTTTGTCGACCAGCCAAGGCTGGGTTCATCGGAACCCAGCAGATCTAGGTTTCTACGAACCCAGCAACCCAACAGATCTAGGTTTCTACGAACCCAGCAAGGCTGGGTTCGGTTGAAACCCAGCAAGGCTGGGTTCGGTGGAAACCCAGTCTTGTTGGGTTCGTTGACCAGCCAAGGCTGGGTTCGTCGAAACCCAGCCAAGGCTGGGTTCGTCGAAACCCAGCCAAGGCTGGGTTTCAACCGAACCCAGCTTTGCTGGGAAAGCTGGGTTCTTGTTTTTTCATTCTTCTTTCGATTTCCATTTCCAGTTGTTAATAAATTTGGAGATTGATTTATAATTTGATTGCATTTTTTTTAGAATTTGATTAAAGTTTGATTGTATTTTTGTTGAAATTCGATTAGAGTTTGATTGGTATTGTTTATTGAAGGGTTATTTTGATTTGATAAGATCTGCCAGGTTTGAGGTTTCAATGAAACCCAGTAGCTCAAGTTTCCCCGAGAAAAGAGAAGAAGAAGAAATGGGTGGGTTAAGATCGGTTTTGTAGATGGAGTGGAGATGAGAGAGCATTCACGGAAGAAGAAGAAATGGGTTAAGATCGATTTTGCAGATGGAGTGGAGACGAGAGAGCATTCAGAGAATAAGAAGAAATGGGTTAAGATCGATTTTGCAGAGGGTGAAGCTGAGAGACCAGTTTGCAGGCAACTGGGATCCATTGGAGGGGTTTGGCGTGAAGAAGATGACATGCCATAAAAAAAAAAAAAAAGGTCCAGATAAGCATCTTTTAAAGTTGTGCTTGCCATGTCATAAAAAAAATATAAAAAATGCCATGTGGCCAAGTTAACGGCCCAAATTGACAGAAGGATTAATGGAGTGCATTTTGTATAGTTGATGGATCAAAAAAGTGCAAAAAATTGTTAAGGGACCAAAAATATGTAACTCATTAAAGTTGAAAGATCAAATTTAGCATTTAACCTTTTGACTTTCACCTTCTAATTGAAGAGCCTTTGTGTCAATAATCTCAGCCCCTCCTATTCTCCATTCTCTCCTTCAATTTATGGTTCTCCAATC